AATGAATGAGTGGAAGCCCAAAATCTCTGTAAATGTTTATGAAAATTAATAAAATATAATTATAGAAAAAAAAAAAGAAAAAAAATGCTCATTTCATTATGCTGAGTGAACTAACTCAGTCCCACAAGGATAAATACTGTATAAGACAGTTATTGTAGAATGAGTATAAGGATCGATGAGGGATGGGAGAGGCTGGAAGCAGAGGGATGAGGGGATTAATCATTGGATAGTACAATTTGTTGGGGGGTGAGGGAAACTGAAAGAATTTGTTCAAATTTGTATTAGAATTTTGTAAATAAACCAGTAAAAAAAATTGCTCATTCCCTCAAAACGCTGAGCTTAGAAATCCCAGATGACCTAGCTATCTCACTACTAGAAACATACCTCAAGGAAAACAGAACTGAGACACAAATAGAGATTTGTACACCTACATTCATAGTAGCATTATACAATAGCAAGATAATGGAAACAGCCCAAATGCTCATCAGCAAATGGACAGATTAAGAAATTGTGATAAATTCACACAATGGAATATTAAGCAGCAGTAAGGGAACAGTGATTTAATAAAATAATATGTAGGGGAGCTCTGGTGGCTTAGTGGTAAGGAGCTGCAACTACAATCTCAGAGGCGCACGGTTCAAATTCACAAGATGCTCTGCTGGGGAAGGAGGGACAATCTCCTCCTGTACCAGTCAGATCTGATTTGACGGTACACTCAAACAAAACAAACAAACAAACAAACAAACAAACAAACAAAAAGTAACATGGAAAAGTCTACAGAGCATTATGCTTAGCAAATGAACTCATTCTCATAAGAGCAATTACTGCCTAAGGCCATTATTATAAAAACAGAATGATAAATAGTAAGACGCATATAAAAGTTCAAATAGGCAAGGCGAGAAAAGCAAGGGGCAGGAAATGGGCAGGAGGGGAAATCACTAGGATAAGGTTGTTTGGTGGGCAGATGTGGGGGTAGGTGTGCATGTGTGAAGGATTTAAGAAAGATCTAATGGGGATCTGAAAATATGGGGTCAAGTAGGGACAGATCCATGGTGATTTTCTTTTAATTCATTTTAATGAAAGTTTATAGCGACTTAAGGTTTCCATTCATTCATTGTTGCACATTTGTCCCTGCCCACTGCCTCTCCCCCAATTCACTCTTCTCTTTGAAAAGTAAAAGAAAAATTCTTTCATTGTTATGCAATCCCTCCCCCCCCAAATCCACTCCACTGTGCAGCCTTCATTCTGCACTCCTGTCCTGATAAGTAATACCTAATCATATATCCCTTTTAAACAATTCTCGCCCTCATCTGTTTCAACGCAGTACACATTATTTAGCCCCTCTTTCTCAATCTTCCCTCAACCCCGATGTCAGTCCCGTTTTACAGCAGTGGCCCTATGCAGTATTTGTCTTTTTGTGATGGAGATATTTCACTCAGCATAATGTGCTTCAGGGTCAGCCATTTTGTGTAATATTTCATGACTTCCTTGTTTTCAATGCCACATAGCATTCCATTGTGTGAATATACCAGAGCTTCTCCATCCATTCGTTTGTTGATGGGCACTTGGGTTGTTTCCAGTTCTTTGCTATTGTGAACAAAGCCGCAAATAAACATGGGTATGCATGTATCTGCTTGGGTGGTGGTTATGGTTTCCTTACAGATTTGTCCTGGAAAGGGTTAAACTGGGTGGCTCCTTGGAGGCAAGGATTCTGAGGCTCCATCTAACATACTTTGGACGTGTTGTGAGGAGAGACCGGTCCTTGGAAAGGGACATCATGCTTGGGAGGGTGGAGGGACAGTGCAGGAGAGGAAGGCCCTCTATGAGGTGGATTGATTCAGTGACTGGGATAACTGGGATGGGAGTGTCAGAGAGTGCAATTGGCACAGGACAGACCGGAGTTTAGGGCTGTTGTACATAGGGTCGCAGGCGACTCGACAGCACACAACAACAACAACAACAGGGAATATTCCCAGTAGCGGAATTGCTGGGTCAAATGGTATCTCTATTTGCAACTTTTTGAAAAGAGCACCATACAGCCTTGCATAGTGGTTGCACCATTTTACACTCCCACCAACAGTGAATAAGGGTTCCAGTTTCTCTGCAATGTCGCCAGCATTTGATGTTTGCTGTTCTGTTAAATTTTGCTATTGTTACTGGGGTGAGATGATATCTCAGTTATTTTGCATGGTGATTAATTATATAAAATATTGTTGTTGCTGTTATGTGCTGTCGAGTCGCCTGCGACTCATAGCGACCCTATGTACAACAGCCCTAAACTCCGCTCTGTCCTGTGCCAATCGCACTGTCTCTGA